GAGATCGGTTTAATAACTGCAGAAACATGAGTCGCCAATCTATCATTAAATTATTAAGTTGTCTCAAAGAAATGACGTAGATTTTTACATTGTCGGTCTAAAATGTTTAAAACCCTGGATAAGCACAGGTTATCGGCCCAGCAATGACCTTTTAATGATTGACTGATTTTGTATGCCTTACGGGACGTGATCGGAATTGACCAAGTTACCCCGACGTAGATTGCCCGCTCTGCCCATCAGCTGTGGTTCCTAACAATTTCGGTAATGCAATTTGACCCCCCCAGGCACGAGAACAAATTTGATTTATGTCGCGTGCGTAAAGCACGAGACAACATTGCACTTTCGCTGCAGTCATGCCCGCGCGTTCAAATTCGCGATTTCGATATTTGTCAGTGTGCAAGAAGAAACGAGTAAGCGCCGGGCTTGCGTGCTGATAGTGGAAATCCGCCGTTGATACACAGTGCTCTCTCGCGCACTCGCGCGCGGGAAAATATTTATTGCCGTTCGCGATTCTGCACGGTCGCCAAGTGCCGGGATATTTCGCGGTGAACTGAATGTATGTGCGACGTCCCGGCGGCGAGAAAACGCATTATCGGCATTACTGTATCAGATGTCACGTCGGACGAGCTGTCGATACCAGCGGCGATCGCCGTCACGCGTAATTGACCATTAGATCTTCTCCCTAACTTTCTCCCAAACGTCCATTTTGGAGATAAACGTGTAATATGTTATTACAGAGAACTTGATTTATATTTGAGAGAAAAATCTCGTCAGACCGTCTCTTGCTCCAAAGTGAAAAGTGATCCCGACTTCGCCAAACATTATCCTTACTTAACAACCGAAAAAATATATAAAACAGAATGTTACAGCATTCCGTCGTGTACCACGTATTCGGCAATAAACGCGATTCGTGAATAGATCGATGTCGAGTCAAACAGGCGAATATTTCAAATCCTGAAATTAAAAGTACCCAATATTTTGTCTACGTCCTCGAAACTTAATTTTGCAAGATCTCATATTTTAATATATTCTTGTGAAATATTCCTGAAAAATATGAAAGACGTGCCGCAGTATCCATTGTTGCGTCGAATCACCGTGCTACATGCGAAACGTCGCTGCGAATATTTCCATAATAATATGTACGCGCGGATAGTGAAAACCTCTTCACGCGGTATTGCGACGTGCTGCGCTGTTACTCCAATTCCAGTTTTTCCTTGATGACTTCGATGTATTCGACAAAGTAGAGCCGCCTCTGCTATATATTCGTAGTATTTTTCTCTCAAGATCTACCAGAAGAAATAACGTTCGATTGAATTTTGGTAAAAGGAAAAGAGCCCCTGGCGCTATAGAAGCCTCGTTAAACCCCCTGAGATGAAAATCTTGTATCATTAAAAAAAGATGGAGTAACTTTTGCGAAAGTTGACGAGCTCTATCCGACGAGCAAAAGTTTTGGAACACTTATACAATGGAAAATTTGTTGCAGGGAGGGCGAGGGCGGCGGCGGTGGCGGCGGCGGCGGCGGCGGTGGCGGCCGTTCTGTGACCGGCTCCGGTGGCGGTGGTGGAGGCGGCGGCGGCGGTCGTCGGGCACCGAGCCTACGGCTGGTGAACGGAAGGGCGACCACGGGGGTGAGTTTGCACACCAGCAGCACCGAATCCGTGCGCTCTCCCCATCACCAGCTCGGCCAGCAGATCGGCAACAACAACAACTGCCACGCCGGTAACAACCCCGCCGCGAACAATCATCCACGGCTCAACAAAGATGACAGCATCAAGATCAGCATCGAGAACACCAACACGTGCACGGACAGTCTCGTCACTGCACTAGACGACGAGACCCTGCTCATCACCGATTTCCTGGGCGACACAGGTAACTGTTAAGCTAACTACTGGGCCTTATTAATTTTCCGCGAGAAAAGTAACGGGCTGGGACCCGTTAAAATAACGAGATCCGATTCGGCACCTTCCACTTGCCGGGCGAATGCTCTTCCAACTGAGCTATCGAGGCCCACACCCGAGATCCTCCTTCTCGCTTACCTACTTTATTTTACTGAATAAAGTAGGAGTAGTATCAAAGAGAGCTCTGCCTGTTAAAGCATAGTGTAACTAGTATGTTCACTCTCTGTCGGCCCTTTGATCTTTCGATCACGTGGTGTTCCGCCACTATTTTGGGCAGCAATCCAGCGGCGTATGTGTGTGTACGTACTGTAGTTGTATGTGTGGTAGTCGCAGTCTTCTATATACTATTAGACTGCTACCTTCGAGCTGAAAAGTGAGGCAAGAGTTCCGCCATGTCTTGTTAGGTGAATAAAGTAGCGTGTTTTTCACGTTGAAACTAAACATGTTTTTAAAAGAAGAATATTATTTTTTGTCTGTGTACAACTTTTTTCTCGTTGACTTGACCAAAACCATGTCGGACGCGCAGAAGGGATCGACGCAAAACGAAACAAATGGCAGAGTGAACGTACTGGTTGTACTGTGGTTAAAGGATACGTAGTTTCGATTTTCTCTCGAGCACACTGAGAATGTTAGAGCGTTTTGTAATTACGCATTGAGGATACTTGTCTACATTATCGCCACGTTATTAATAATTCGCATATGTAAAATGTGATTACTCGATTAAAGCGTGCAAACTGTTTCTACTGATTAAACAGCTCATCGTCATAAAATGTAAATACGACAATTGTTTCAAAGTTAGATTAATTCGATTAATTACGACGATACATATATTGTAACTTCCATAGCGTGACCGACTGCATTTCATGAAATCCTAAGGGAATCCACGTTTAAATACGCCACTCGAAGCGTGCGTTTTTTTGTTTTTTATTGTTTACGTTGCTTTTGTATTTTCTCGTAAAAGTCTCGATAACAGTCACCTGTCATCACTCGTACCATTATGCAAACACCGATGTCGTACAAGTGTTACGTTCGAATAAACGAACGGTTTATTTGAGTGGGAGATATTTCACAGGGATCTCTGCGTAAAATGCGAGACGTAAGCACGTCTGCGACCATTATAAATTGCAATTGAGCTTACGATGGCTCGCAAACGTCTCGGAGGAACATAAAGAATGCGAGTAAAACTTACGACTTTAATGAGATCCGCCGTAATAAAGGGATACAATCCTAACGACGGGAATGAGTTGCGCGATCACATTGCGCGCCGCGTCGTCGTGATATCAAACGTTACCCGTAATGTCCATGCCGTGTGAATCACGGCCCACGACACGGTACCGGCTGGACGTCAAATTACAGGCTGGATTTTGGGTAACTGACCGGCGTCAGTACACTTATTTTTTAACCGTATCGCGTCGATAGGCCACTAAATCGAATCAAAACGCTCATAAACCGTCGGATTGAACCCGTATCACGCAGATGTACGCGGTTGTCGCATTGTGGTGTTCGCGGTGAAATGTCATAAATCATTGATCGGACCTGTGACACGCGCTTATACATGTGTGTAACGAGCGCATTGTCCGTCGCGCACAAGGCGCAAATGTGAGTGGCGCGATGCGCTCGCTGGCGAAATGTAACGCGATGCAGTTAACGATGATGGAAAAAGGAGCGTATTGTTTTATACGGGAATAATGGAAGCGCGAAACGAGATTGTTATGATATCAAAATAATATCAAAGCGAAAATTGATATGCAATGGAACACGTTAATCGTCGCGAGACCCTGAGAGAGGAAGAGAGAGAATCTAAATATTTCAGGACACGTTCTTCGCAAATGTACAATGCAGCGCAAAATATTTCGTGAGAGACGATTATTCAAAAGTTGCCTCGGGATAAGATTATTTAAAATAAGTACGATTTCACACGCTGCGCGACAACTTGCGTGAATTAGCATAACACGAAATTTTTAGCAACGTTTTTGCGCGAATTTATAAATGCAAATTCACAACCGCGTCCTTCGCGTCAAAATAGAGTCATTATAGGCATCTCCTCGTCCTTCTGGTTTGGAATCGCAGCGTATAATACTCGCCGCACACGAACGTAGCGAATTTTTCGCGAAAATAGGAAATATATGATGATAAATTGGACGCACTGGAATATAATAAACCTCTGACATTTTTAACTTTTCGCGCGAACAAAGGTGCTCCCTGAATCGTGCCCAGGCGTATCTATTAAAATAATATAAACGAATCAATTTGCAGTTTCTTTGACGGTAACATTTTTTTACGTAAATAATTGGACAGTAGATGTAGCATGACCGTAGCCTAGAATTCCCGACTATAATCGCAGTGCGCAAATTCAAATCATTCCGGACGCGAATCTTTGTAACGCAAAATACTTTACAGCATTTATCGGTAAGACTAATACACGAATCTAAATATTTTCTATGAAAATTACAAGAATAACAGTTACTAATAAGAATATTCTTAAAGTCGCCAGTAGTAATTAATAAATTAATAACATCGGTGATCTTTGTCGACCGTGTCTGGCAATTAATAACAGTTACATAAGATTTCTTCCCTCTCTTTCTCTAAATAACAAATAAAATATGTCACGCGAAGTATTCCAGTCTTTTCTGAACTCAGAGAAATGTGTCACACTGATTTTTGAATTTCGCCCGTCAAAGTACAATCCGCGGATATCCTGACGAAGACAACATTTTTTCAAATAACAATTACATGAAGCGCTACAATACTTTCCATGGTACCATTTTCTCTCTCTCTTTTCTTTTTATTGGTCGCGATTAAAACGCAGTAAAGCTTCCGTCCATTCGACTCGAATATCGTGCAACGTGACGAGCGCAATAAATCGCGATATTGGATCTCTTACGCCACTGCGATACGTATCGGCAGGAATCGTGGTAGAGCGTCCGGGGATTAGCGTATACCAACATGTAGAAAAAAAGAATCGGGCATATGTACCCGTTCGTCCGGCTAAAACCGGTCAGTGGACACGCGTCTCTTCTCGCGCTTCTTCGCGTCCTTGTTCCGTTACTTAAGCGAATCTCGCGCGGTATCTGCCTTTCGACCGGGTTATACCGGGTCAACGCGATACTCTGTTCCATCTCGTGCTCGTACGCGAACTCGTCATGGCGGTGCACGACGAAGGAAGTGGATCCGCTTTCGTGGCGCAGGAGAGACCGCTCTTGCGGCGAGGCGCCATGCCGTCGTGTAACGGTCTCAAGTCAAACAATATCGGCTCCTGGCCGGGATCGTACGAGGAGTTTATCTCAACTTGGACATTATGGGGCGTTCGTAAGCCGCGTGCATCCGGTGAGTGTTGATAAACCGTAACGTTTATGCGATTGTCAATAGTCATCGGCTGTGTCGATGCTTATTCCGAGAGAAGATAAAACCAACGATGCCAATTCTACCGCTGTCTAGGCCCGAGACTTTTACAAGAGAATATACAAAAGTAATTTAAATAATAAAAAAAAAATAAGGACGTGTATCGTACAGGATCGCGCAATATCTACAAACGTAATAAGTACACAATCATCTATATGTGTAAAAATATTTCAGCTATTTGCATAAATGATTTGCGGTTAGGAAATGAAATCGAGGTATTCATGCTGGAATTAATCGAAATTAATTTGGCATTTTGGCGATTTGGTAGAAACTAGAGAAATTATGCACGCATAAGAGCGATCTGCGAGAGTCGTTCTCGAGAAAGACTTCATTTCAAGAAGAAGAGCCGTGTAACTACGCCGTCGAAGCACGAAACGTGGCAAAAAGGCAATGATGCAGGTTGACAGAACTTCTGCGAAAAGGTGTATTACGAGTTTAGATTTGAACCGTGTCTTTAATCTCAAATCTTCGAATTTATCGGCCAATTAACGCTTTCGGGAGAAGCAAGTAAACTCGCCTAACTTTGATCACGTAAGTTCGAAAAAGTCCCGTGAAATTTACACAAAGGAAATTTCGTGAGTTAGTTGACGAGCCATAAAGATACTTCGGGTTAACGACATTAAGTCGTACGTGCCGGCGCTATTATCGCGGCGTAAGTTTACAAGTTCAGTTGTGCCTGCGGACAGTTGACGATTTGTGCTCTGTGCGGCCGCTATGTGACTCGGCTCGGGGTTTATCGGGTAGGTCCGAGATTTTACGGGCGCTATCGGGTAGGCGATAAAAGTCCTCGGTGTGATTGTCGCCGCCACTGACCCCAGACGACCGTGTTGCAGGCAACGAGATGAATTACAAGGGCAGCGGGAAGGTCCACTTCGGGGTGGACGACGTGTCCCTCTATGGGACGCCGAAGGAAGAGCCGGGCCCGGGCCTCCCGGGCCAGGAGGTCAAGCAGAGCTTTCTGAAGAATCAGCTTCAGGCCCTGTTCCAGCCGACGGACAACAAGTTGGCCATGAAGCTCTTCGGCAGCAAGAAGGCGCTTATGAAGGAACGGATCAGACAAAAAGCCGCAGGTCACTGGGTCATCCATCCTTGCTCCAGTTTTCGGTATGTCCTTCGACTATCAACTGATCTCATTCAACAGGCCGCATCAATATTTCGCCCTATCGCGTTCGTTCCGGCTGGAAAACACGTCCCACTGAGAAATATCGGTCTCAGACGCAGCCTCGTATCTAAGTCCGCTCGAATAAACTCACGCGCGACACATCGGTCCCACGTAAAAGAAAACAAAATCCACTTGTTCCTCGTAAGACACAAAGTTTGCACTTAGTCGTTGAGAGATAGCTAGATACACGGAACGCATATTATGAAATGGCAATAACACCAATTACTAGAATAACAATTGATACTATATAATGCAAGTTACTGCATATTAATATATTCATCTTTTTTCGCAAAAATATAATATAAATTTCGCCTCAAAATTTATCTCCTCCAACACTCGAGCGTTACGTCAATCATAAAATGCTTTTCACAATTACCTTGGACATCTTAAAAGGAAACGGTAAAAAATGAAAAATTACTTCTCATTATACGAGACTTGCGCTGAAGCCGATAAAAAATTATTATCCGATTGTGCCAGTCATTTCTAAGTTAACGCGATACGATGTTTAACGCTCACTGCTATCAGATGGAGCGGCGTTATAAAAAATTTGTTCTTCAGATATGAATGCATTAGGTGTATGCCGGACGCAGGCGAAAATGATATATGGCAAAAGTGGCGCGAGCGAGCCGAGCGTAAATCAACGAGTCGTGTCGGCTTACCCGCAACCCGAAACTTTTCGGCTCGACCGCGAGCCCGGCTCAAGAAACGTAAACTAGCGCCTTTGTGCCGCAGTAAAATATCTGCCGTATCCGAACCCGTTCGTCGTTCAGGCTTTCGTGCCGCGCGTACGTCCCTGGCGGACAGATCTCGAGGATCACAAAAGGGCGCGTTTGACCTACGACCTGGCACGCGTTGCTCGCGGCTTCAATCGATCTGGGTCGCGCGGTATCTTCAATGGTTCTACAAGAATCACGGATTTAGTTATGTGTATGCGCGTGTATACACAGTCGAATAGTCGACCTCGCCCCGCGACGAAATAGCATTGGGACTTTACGGCCGCAGGAAGAAGCCTCCATCAGGCCTTTCGCTTCCTGTAGGAGTTGCCTTATCGATGACGGGCCACAATCCGTCGCTCAAGTCCGGACGCGTGCTGCCCGGTTCCTCGCGGAGGATGTTGACGCGCTCGCCGAGCCGTTTAAGGACAAATGTATCGATTAGAATGACAATAAGCCTTCGAGAATGCCCCGCGTCTACCGGGCGATAATGGATGGGCGATCCTCGATTAACGGTAATTCCTTGCGGAATTAACTATTAATCAACATTAGTCGGGTAAAAAGGATTACAAGAGCGTCAAGTACATTTCGCGGATTTGCATCGGCGAAAGTTCACCCAAGGAGGCAACAATGAGAAATGGAGAAACACGCGAGTGCCAAGGCTCGCGCGAGAAATTTATTCTCGATTCATTAAAAATGAATATCCAATCGTGACGCTTAAAAATCACGTATGGTAAAAAGGGCCCTTTTTTATAATAACGGAATTAACTTGAACTTTTTCTCAGGATATCCAATAATTTATCCTTCGATGATTTCCGGGAGAAACTGTCACGGTTTAAGGGATCATTCCACTTTAACGGCCCAAAAACTATGCTTATCTTTAACAATTTGTTTCACAGTAAATACACCATACAATGAAATAAATCTTTTTAGGATTTATTAGGGCACTCTTAAGTAACACAAAAAAATTTTTGTCATAATTTAAACAATTTTTTAATTAAGCGTTTTCTACACCGTTTGAATGGCGTGTCATAAAAGATGCAAGTCCGCTGCGTTGATGACTTTTATCGTTCAGGCTTGTCTGAAATAAAAAATGAAAAAGATTCTCAATCTATACGAGTGTCGCTATGTCCCGAACCTCAATTAAGAATTTTTATTTAAAAATAACGAGATGGTGCCAGTTTGAAAATAAAATTCGAAAAGTACTTTTTAAAACTTTCTTTTTCAAATTGGCACCATTTTGTTATTTTTTAATAAAAATTCTTAATTGAGGTTCGGGACATAGCGACACTCATGTGGATTGAGAATCTTTTTGATTTTGTTGTTTCAGGTAAGCCTGAATGATAAAAGTCATCAACGCAGCGGACTTGCATCTTCTATGACACGCCATTCGAACGGTGTAGAAAACGCTTAATTACAAAATTATTTCGATTATAACAAGATTTTTTGTGTTATTTAAGAGTGCCCTAATAAATCCCAAAAAGATGTATTTCGTTGTAAGGTGTATTTACTGTGAAAAAATTGTTAAAGGCAAGCATAATTTTTGGGCCGTTAAAGTGAAATGACCCTTTAATGTCCCGTTTAACGTCCACTGCACGTGCAAGTCTCTTTTCTTACCTTTGCGGGGAAAAAAATAGAAGCGAGGAGACTCTTCTGCGTCAACCGGGACGAATTCCCGCGGCTGAAAACAAGCGAATGGGAAATGTGCGCATAGTGCAGCGTGTCGTTCCATAACGCGCGAAACACTATGCTCGGCCGCGACTTTGTAGCGGCGACGGCGGCGGCGTTTGTCGGTCCAATTGGTTGAAATTGCCCGGCGCTTCCGTTCGGAATCTTGGTTAATTACCGGCAGCGCGGAGAGGACATCGGATCCTCCGCAGCCTTCTCCACGATTCCACTAAAACGCGAGGCTCTCGTGGGCATTGAAACTTTAATTCGCGCCGCCGTTAATGGCAGCGATATCTTCCGCGGCAGAACGGTCGTAACCAGCGGTCGTTCTTTGCGCGACGCATAACGGCTAATATCCACCTGCTGAATTATACAAATGAGTGCCAATGGTGCTCCATTTTCGAATCGTTATAGATCGGGTATCCATATAATGAAAGTCACGTAAGCTCCCGTGTCCGACTCGTATGTTTTATTCGAACGTGACACAGCGAGGGACATGCGTGCTCCCGAACGAACAGATATATTATTTAAACGTGAGCAAGCATCAAATCTGTTTCCTCGTCAGAATATAATGACAACATTTTCAATAGTTTGGCACTGCATTAATACTGTATGTGTGTGCTTTTATCTTATTTATCTCGTATATGCGATGTAGGCTCCTTTTATCAAACAGTCTTTTGAAAATTTACAAGCTTTTTAGCTAATATTCGAAAAAAGATAAATTCCATCGAAACATTGGCAAAGATTGCGGGATAATAGAACAGATACGCGGAAAATCAGAGTGATGTCGCGGTTTTGGGAGGGCACGCGCCTAAATGAATGCGCTCTTTGATCCATAGGCCAGAATATAAATGATAGCCGAAATATCCGATAACACGTGCCACATATAGTCGGCTGTAATGTCGCTCCGTCAGCAGTTCATTATCCGAACATCCCGGACATGTGCATGCCTCTATAGGAGATGTCGCGTTAATGGAGATCCATCCTGAGCAATTAACAAGAATCCTTGACACGACATCGATGCGAGTTTCGATACAGCGGTCGACTCCCCGCGCCTAACATTTAAACTGTATCGCTCCAACAAATCGTAAACGAAAGACGACGACAACAGTTTATGACACCGCTGCTGTAGACTCTTTCGAATCAGGAATGTTGGGAAGCGAGCTCGTAGCAAGACATATACACGCGTGCATTGCCGAACGCATCCAATTATTCAGATAGTTCGAAAGCGCAAGTAGTTAGCGAGACTATTATTTCCAGCGAGTCTCGGCTGAAGCGAGACTTTATTGGTACCTTACCAGCGCCCGAGACGCTCGCTGCGGGATATTAAAAATTTACGACGCGCAATACCGACAATATCATTTCCTTCGTTTTAATATGCGGCCCCTAAATCGCTGTCCTTCACTCACGTACGTTTCATGAATTCATAATTCGCGGAGTTCAATTCGCCTCGCGCGGTACGTGGCGCGTTCGCGACGACACTGTCGTGCGTACGACAGTGTCTCGCGGAAACGTAAAATTAAATGAAAATATTGTTACATGCGCGCAGCCCGAAAGGGGAGACGCGACGTGGAGACTCTCATTCTCCCGCGGACCGCAGGGAATAAAACGTGCGATTGTTTCTGTCATAAAAGCTCGTCTCTCATTATGCAGCGGTCGCACATATTTGTCTCCGTTCTGTGATCGGTCGGAATTGCCGCGGTGAATATAACTTGGCGGGACTCTCGGACGCGAGAATACACTCTCTTTCTCTTAAAAGGAGGGACCTGTATAAATACGAGGCGTCATAAAAACGAACATAAACTGCACTACTTAACTTCGGACGGGACATTAGGTACGTTCCTTTTTTCTCCCCCCTCCCCCCCTCGTTTCGCGTTAAACCGCTTAAAAAGCCGCGTATCCGGTGAAAACGACTTTCCTCGTGCTTGATTTATCGTTGATAATGTTAAGATATGCAAACCTCGAGCTTTCGAGTCGAATGATTTATCGCGCACGGCTACGGTATCGAATATTCGGATGTTCCACATTTAACGCTCTCCGCTTTCGGATTCGCGAGGGAGAATTTTATACTTTACTTGAAACGCGGTTCTCCTCCGACACCGCAGAATTTCTCTTGTAATTTTTAGAGCGCGCGTTCGGATCTGCTTTAATATCACTTGATACACTAATAACGTATTCCGCTGTGTATTTACCCGAATCTAATCGCATCTCACTGAAAATGCCAGGCTAAGAAAATGCACTTAAGCGATAATTACTGCAGATGTTGAAAGTTGCCGGCGGACAAATCGTCCGTCTTTGGCATTTCGGAGTTAAATACCAAGTTCGAACAAAGGCGCGAAAGTATAATGAAGCTCGAACCATTTCTTTCGTATTTCTAAGTAATGTGCATTTATAGCACTGCAGCATCGCGAAAGGGAGGAAGACAAACGTTTCCCGACGCCCGAACAGTCAAAAGTAAAGGCACAGATCGTTAATACAACTCGCGTTCGCATGAGTTTGCAGCGTATTTCACGCGCATTGGTTTCGCTCTGACGTAAAAAGGAGAGCAAAAGAAGCATTGT